CAGACACGTAGCTGACCTCGGCAAAAGGCGACACAGACGTCCGAGATGCGAATCAAGCCAGTGCCTGCCCTGAGACGAGTCACTCCGGTCAGCATGCCGATAGTCTGCATCGTGAAGGACCAGCTGGAACCAAGAAAAGACAACCCCGCAACAGCCAGGAGCGGGAGCAGCGCAGAGGGTCTGGGGCCTTTGCTCCTATCTGTCCTAGGCATGACGCTGCCCAGAAGCTGCGGGACACGGCAGGCATCAATCCAAGGATGATAGTAGTTGCCCATGGCATAACTCTCGTCGTTGTCGTGCTTTGTGGCCTCTCAGAATGGATTTGTTTTAATCGAAAAGGAGTCTCTGATAAACTATGGAGTCCACCTGCCTGACTCTTCGAGTCTGCAAGATGCAAGCGAATGCGAGCGAGCTACGGCTGCCGAGTTTGGGCAAGGACTTGCGCCCATGCGTCGGGATCTGGTGCTCACCGGCGCAGACCAAAAATGCGCGGAAGAATCCAGCGTGAAAGGAGTGCCGACCGAGCTTGGAAGGGCCAACAACTGATGACCCTCATGTTTCGCGGAAGCTCGGGCTCTTCCGGTCAGAAGCACAGACACTTCGGGGCCACTTTGGGTTCAGCTGTCGGCCCCACACGAGACTGACCCCGAGAAGTGACGGCAGGAACGGAAGAGGTGCCGTCAACACTGGCGGTCAGTCCAGTGCAGTCTCATGGTGCACACTTCCAGGCAAGCTTGAAAGGGACCTCCGGTGTGCCACGGCCCACACTCCGGCTGTACAGGGCTGCGCAGCCCGCAAAGGCATTTTGGGGGATCGGGGAATCGAGGAGTCCGAAGACAAGAAAAAGACACTGGGCACGTGCTTTGTGGACCTGCCATATCCGAGAGAAGAGCTAACCTCTCCCGACGGCAGGTCAGGAAACTTCCTTGAAAGACTTCGCACATGTGTCCAGTTGGTCTGAGAGGGAGCGCCCCTCCCGGATACATCGCTATGGGTCTTCATCGCGCACGGTGACCTCCAGGAGATACTCGGAGTAGACCTGCGATGCAATTCGGTGGAGTGTCCTCCTGCAGGGCCACGTACACATTATGCTTTGTGGGCTGCCGACCTGCATCTCATGCCACACGATGAACTCACGAGGCCCTTCGCGCAGAGGATTCGCAAGGACGGAATTCTTGCCAACCTTCCAGAATTGCTCTGCCGGACGTCTTAAAACAGTTAAGACTGTTGAAGCGCTCGTACAGTGCAGGGCTCGGTGCTCCCCGTTCCACGCATTAAACATGACTTGGGCAGTTGAGCACCGGCGCCTTGTGCGCTGAGATCACGGCATCCAGTTCATATCTTTCGCTGGTGTAATACATCTGGCCACACAGCACCCGGCAGAGTAGGCTTCGCTTGAGGGCGTGACTGCTCGAGGCTCTTTGAATTCTCTGCTAGAAGACACAGAAAGACGTGCCGAGCGTCAGAAACTGCGAGGTCGTCCGTCCATCAGACGATGTGTTGACAGGAGCCTGCAGTACGGTGCAGCAAATCTTCTGTCAGAACACGAATAATCCCACCAGAACGCCTTACAACCGTTCTATGCTGCATTCTGAGTGTCATAAGCTAAACTCTTGCCGACGTCTTCAGCGAAATACAGACCACAACCGTAGCGCGCGCCGTTCTTTATCTCCTGAGACAAGCTGTGCCAGCAGCTCCCTACGACCTCTTCAGCATCCGATCCCTCCGACTGCTTTCTGGGCCCGGTCAGTCCTTGGGCACGCGGAAGTCAGCTCTTACAAT